AATGGGTGGTGAAAGAAGACAACCTATTCCAGGTGTGACATGATATTCCTCAGACATTCTGCCGCTCTGTGCCACTTGTCATAGGAATAGTCTTCATGAAGTTTTTGATGGTGGTGATTAATTTCGTTGGCATTCCGTAATGCCTCATGCCTCACGCCTCACGCCTCACCAGATAGTTTCTGGCGGGATTTTGGACAAAATTAATTAGCCGTAGTGGGGGGGGGGGCCTTTACAGTCGTTGACAAAGGTGATGGAGGGGGGGGGGTGTAAAACATTTGACTAAAACTGTTGACATAATTAATGGAAGGCCCTTATGGTACTCAATGATGTAGCCATTGTAACATGATATACAACTGTGCTTATTGTACTTTTGTAGATCAGTGATCAATCCACTAGGGATCAGCCTGACCGTAACTCATCGATGATTAGGTTTGACCAGTATAGTCAGTTTGCTAGAAATTAATTAGTTATGTCCATGTTAGATGGTCACTTTCACGCACACATTATTAGTAAGTACTTTCACAATTAATTTGTAAAGTGTTTATTTAAAAAAATCAACAGTATAAAGTTACTACAATTTTGAATATTAAGCCAGTGCCAAATGTTCTCCCATCCACCTGTTTACCCCTCAACTTGCTACATCATCAACCTTTTCACCCCTCAACTTGCTACATTATCAACCTGTTCTCCCCTCAACTTGTTACATCATCAACCTGTTCTCCCCTCAACTTGTTACATCATCAACCCGTTCACCCCTCAACTTGTTACATCATCAACCTGTTCTCCCCTCAACTTGTTACATCATCAACCTGTTCTCCCCTCAACTTGTTACATCATCAACATGTTCTTCCTGTAGAGAGAAAAAAACAACAAAAAGAAACAGCTCTTATAAGTTAAAAAAACAACTTTCAAAAGACATATCACAACTTACTGTGCACTTTTTCTAATCTACGGAGCATGTGGTATGGAAATTCCTGTTATCACTATTGCGTGTTCAGGATTGAAATAGACATTAACATAATGTGCATTCACTTTCGGTATTGTATTATTATGGGGTATAAATACAGGCATTCATCAGCATTAGATCAGCTTTGTCTTGCTATAAAAGTAGAACAAACTAACTCCATCAAATTTCTCAAGGGTGAAATTTAAATAAACAGCTGAACTGAAAGGTAAGCTATAAGTTTCATAAAATGTAACAATATCTCTGAACACATCTTTGTTAGGCGTAATAATTAATTTCATTGCATGTAGATATATTCTGATGATTCCCTTGTTTGATTATAGTATAGGGCTACTAAAAATAAAGTTATTAAAAAAAACTTTATAGCAAAAACTAAACAAATATGACTGTTCAATACTCGGGTTAAATGGTGGACTAGACTTGTATTATCAAATGTCTTATATTAACAAAGTACAAGATTCCAATGGATCTATAAAGAGAGAGAGAGAGAGAGAGAGAGAGAGAGAAAGGGGGGGGAGAGAGAGAGAGAGAGAGAGGGGGGAGAGAGATAAATATAAAGAGAGGGAGAGAGAGAGAGAGAGAGAGAGAGCGAGACATAAGGAGGGGAGTTAATATGTTGTCTATAAATATGACAGCGGAATCACACTGTATAGGTGAGAGAGAGAGAGAGAAAGGGGGGGGAGAGAGAGAGAGAGAGAGAGGGGGTAGAGAGATAAATATAAAGAGAGGAAGAGAGAGAGAGAGAGAGAGATCGAGACATAAGGAGGGAAGTTAATATGTTGTCTATAAATATGACAGCGGAATCACACTGTTTAGGGTCTCTGAAGCTTAATCCTAACTAAATGTTTAAACAATGTTCACAGAGAAAAAAAATGGCGCCAACCCAAAACAAAGTGAATAGAAATCCAGTCCAAGACAGCAGGGACTCTCCTACGTGTCACACTTTTCAAATATTTGTTAAAAACTTTGCTAACAGTAAAGACTATCCATTTGATGTGGAACGAGAGTATCGTGTTGAGAAGTTGATGGACGAGATCTTCGAGAGGCTAGGCGTACCGACCGACCAGCAGAAGTTGACCTACGCTGGCAAAAACCTGGAGAGGGGAATGACTCTTGGTCATTACCACATAAAAGAACATTCGACTGTTTTACTTACCGCTCGTCTTAGGGGTGGTTAGACCTTGTCATGACATGGAGGTTAGACCTTGTCATGACATGGAGGTTAGACCTTGTCATGACATGGACGTTAAAACCACAATAAAACCAGGCGTTGAATCCAAACATCCAACATCCATGACAGGTAGCCACTCAAAGCTACCGACAGGAAGTCTTCATAATGAGTTTGTTAAATATAATGATATGACGTGAATGTTAAACTAACGCAAGAAGAGTAATTGTGATGATTCACTTAATTGAACTTAATTCAGAAGATGTAATTTGAATGTTGAACTTAATCAGAAGATTTACTATGAGTGTTTAACTTTTCTGAGATGATGTGTGACTTGAAATTCATGCAAATGATGTACGCTGAGTAATGTTTAACTTAATTGAGATGGTGTACTGTGAATGTTTAACATGATTAACTGCATGCATTAAAATTATATAAATTGGGAAAATATTTACACAAGTACGCAAAAAACATGTTTAATTTAAACGATGATTTAAAAAATTAATACCTTTTCATACGAGAAATGTCACGGAAATGTATATTTAAAAAATGAATAAAATATAAGCAATTATTTAATATGTTAGCAATATTTTTTTTAAAAAAATACTTTGTTTTGTTTCTGTTTATTTTAATTTCTAACTTAATCAAATAAATCAAATAATATTAGAAATTAAATAAAGGCAAAAAAAAAAATATTATTAACAAAATAAATAATTGTTCAATTTTGATTCATTTTTTTAAGATATACAAGTTTTAAAATATTAATTAATTTATAACTTTAATACGAGAAAAGTCACAATAAATTTATATTAAAAGTAATAAAATTCGAATAGTTTTTTTTTCCGCCTCTATTTAATTTCTAAGATTATTTTATTTATAAAAATAAATTGATTTCTGTATTTCACATATTTTAAATTTCTGTAACTTACGTCAATAAATTTGGAAAGATTATGAATAAAAATAAAATATTTTCTTCATCTTCAAAATGTTCTTGACTCATTATTTTTGCCCCTTTTTCACAAGCAGTTACATAAACGTGTGTTTTATAATTTTTAATTTATAACTTATAAAAAAGTAAATATGAAATATTATTTTTTTTTTTAATGTCAATGTCACTATAAAGAGATATTTATTTATTTAGGCATTTTTATATAGCGCTTACCATAAAGCTCTAAGCGCTTTACAAACATGTAAAATAAGTAAAATAAAAATGAGACACTAGGATAGTAACTACTATACTATAGAAACAATGAAAATGGCTATAAAACGAGGACACTTTGGCACGTTTTGGCCTATACTTCAGGATCAACCTGAAACAGAAAATGAGGCAGGGCAAGGAGGGTGCATCACAGGTCATAGGCGGACCTAAACAGATGAGTTTTAAGGGACTTTTTGAAAATGGACGAGGTTTCACAATGACGGATATGGAAGGGGAGCTGGTTCCAGAACGTGGGTCCATGGAAGTAGGAGCGGGGTGTGCTCAACATCCTAAAAAGCGATTTAAATCTTTTCAACATTAGTTGTAAATGGGGGAATTTTATCAAAAAGTCCCTATTCTTTCGGTATGATGGGCATGTGATTATGAATTCAGATTCTTAATCTAACCTCGATGACGCTAGCATTGCAAAAATATAAAGTAAATAAATGATACGTGTGGCGGGGAGCAACATATCACGAGTTTGTCATCGCTGATCTAGTGGCAGAGATAATAGACTGGACCCCATGGAGCTATACGGCATACACACACACACACACACATACACACACAGACACACACACGCATACGAGTTTAACATGTTGGGAAGCAACGCGCTAGTGTCTAAATAAAAAAAAAAAAAAAAAAAAAAAAAAAAAAATTTAACACGACCAGCCCCACCCCCAACCGTTTTCACAATTTGTTTAGTAACTTCCCATATAAGTATGACATATTATGGCATTCTATTTCTGACTTGATTGAGGCATCTAGGACTACCAATAATCAGACGTAAGCCTTTACCCTCAACCCGGTGCTGTACCAAGAAGAGACTTCGTTCCCCGAACTAGGTTTGAAAATATCATTACTGCGTATCTGAAGTTGTAGCTATAAATACCGCTGAGTTATCAACTAGGCACAAATCAACAAGTAAGAACTTGAAATTTTCTAGTAGGGTAGACTTACATGTATTTTTGTAGTGTAGGCCGAAATACTTCACGCAAGACTGTAAGTTTAAAAAAAAATGTATGTTAAATCAATGAAGCTTCGGATGTAATTAAGGAGAGAACAATCTAGGTATACTCCACGTAAGGGCCGCACCAGCGGGTGGGCCGCACCAGTGGGTGGGTAGAACCAGTGGGTGGGCCGCAACAGTGGGTGGGTAGAACCAGTGGGTGGGTTGTACCAGTGGGTGGGCCGCAACAGTGGGTGGGTAGAACCAGTGGGTGGGCCGCAACAGTGGGTGGGTAGAACCAGTGGGTGGGCCGCACCAGTGGGTGGGTTGTACCAGTGGGTGGGCCGCAACAGTGGGTGGGTAGAACCAGTGGGTGGGCCGCAACAGTGGGTGGGTAGAACCAGTGGGTGGGCCGCAACAGTGGATGGGTTGTACCAGTGGGTGGGCCGCACCAGTGGGTGGGTAGTACCAGTGGGTGGGCCGCACCAGTGGGTGGGTCGTACCAGTCGATGGGTTGTACCCTTAGTTTAGGGTTGTCAAAGTTGGTACTTGCGGTTGACCTGGAGATGGGTCGCACGTTCCAATCCTTTAGTAGTTTGTGAAGTTACATGGCTCCTTTTTAACGTAACAATAACAATTATTGGTTAAAAACAGACACACAAAAATGTGTTCTCGCGACAACTTGAAAACTGAAAGGCAATCGTCATAAACTACGTGTGTCTTTAATCAACATTGTTATCAAAGGATTGCCCTCAGAATCCTAGCTGTGAATCTGCATGATGTACAGCTTCGTCTTTATCACCAGCTAATTTCAGCCATCTCTCCATGGGTGCACTGCCCCACCCCCCTCGCGGAGCACCTCTAGTGACGCCACTCCGATGAAATATGGGTAAAGCCAAAAAAAAAATGAAAATATATGATATTTAAAAACCAATAAATGGTCATGTGAATAACCTTTTTTTAAATCAAGAATCACAATTCGTGCCTTTCGCCGATGACAGATGTTATTAGTGGAACCGATGAAATCTCGCTGTGTTCGATAGATTTGATGATCCGTATATTTAAGGCTAAGGGTGCTGGTGGCCAAATGGTCTAAACTGAGCAAATCTCACGTTGGTGAAATCTCAAGTTGGTGGTCTCGAGTTCAATTCCAGCCAAGTTCAAGCAAAAACATCACCAGCACCCACCCCGGGTGGAGGGGACCCGCTAACCTTGGATGGCAACTCATCTAAGAGACGGCAACTCTGAAATCAAACCCGATGGAAAATCCGAAAGGCGGATAACATTGATACAATGAAACATTCCGGCAACTCCTGCGTCGTCAGTGGTGCCAAGCTGTATCATCCAATGATGTTCCCTTGGGCTCTCCATCGGCCTGGAGAGAGGCGATTTGCTGTTGGGAACCAGATTATAATCCTTGAAGAATAATCCTTCGTCCTCCGAAACCCACTCCATCATCACATTGTGACGGACGGATGCAAGCAAAAAAAATAAAATATTTAAGGCTTATCTCGTTAAGAAAGTCTTCCTTCTTCTTGTTTGCATATTTTGATACTTTAATGAGTGCACTTTTTTTTCACAAGTTTAAAGACTTCATTAACATTGTGTTAAACCACCTTTGTGTCAATATAAAGTGACTATAATTTTAACATAGTTCTTGCTAAGTATCAAACATTAGCAATCCGTTTTCAAATTATTTTTCATCATTAGTCATAAAATCAAAGCCTTAAAGTAAGGTAACTCTTAACTATAAATTGTTAACTAGCCCCATACTTATTAAATATACTCATAATCATAATTTTAAGAGTAATCGATTCTATTAATGTTGAGTTAAATAAAATGAAAAAAAAAAGAAATTAATCAACATTGAAATTAAGAATTGAACCGGCGCCCACATACAGTGCAACTTTCATCAATAATTGTTTTTGATTAAATCTAATACAAATACTTTCGATTTCAACGTGTTACTTTTGTGGCACAGTTTCCAGAATAACAGCAACGAATTTAAATCATTAGTCTCTATAGTTATTAAGGTCTCAACTGCTTTTCTATTATTAATATGAGAATAACGAATAATCTGTCTCACCGTTTTCTTTGAAAGCATTCTTAAAATGTAATTTTTCTTGAGAAGAATCCAGAAAAAAACTAACATTTAAAAAAAATAAAAGCTTTTGTGACCTACCATTTAGTTGATCGTGTCAGTTCCATTTGTATGGGGGTTTTAGTTTTAGAAAAATATCTTCTTTTTTTTTTTAAATAGTCAGTTTTAAAATAAATTCTATGGATTTGGTTAAAAAAAATGTTAATGTTAATCAATAATGAAATTTGTAATTTTCTGAAGAACGTAATAATAGTTTGAAATATTCCAAAATAAACATTTGAATTATCTGAATATTGGGATATGTTTACATTATAGTTTTACGATTTTCCTCCGATAACAATCACACATTAAATAAATGATGTCTTTTGTAAATAGCTTAAGTCCTCTTAACATTATCACGCCATTCTCTTATACAATTTATAAAAATGAACAGCTTTAAAGGACCAATAAAATGTAAAGACCGTTCTAAAAAACAATAATTTGGATCTGGTAAAACTTGGAAATATTTAGAAATTATTATACGTAAGTAGAATTAATTTTTTTTGGTACATTTGAGAGCTCAACATGGAAAATGATGTTAACAGTACTTTCTGCGATGGAAACCCCCCTACCCCCCCCCCCCCC